ATTCCCCATCGAAGTTCTCCTATTGGGTGTACAAGGCTGATGAAACATGTCCGTGTGTGTATGTGTGTTGGCTGATCTAGTGCGAGTCAGGACAGCTCAGCCTTGGTTGGACCCTGGGTGGACAGAAGCACAAAGACACCTGTTCTTGCTCTCAGCATTCCTCTTACTATAATCTAAACCATCTCTGTCACAGGCCTCTGTATCCTCCTATTCATGCACACGTATGCACATGCACAGGGTCAGAAGGAGTCACTTGTGCTTTGTCCTCAATCAGGACAGAGCACACACATGAGCGATTGGATATGCAAGTTTGGCAGGTAAACTGTTGAGTTATACGACAAACACAACACCCTGGTGTGTATCTATACAGTACACATACATTGACACTACGGGTCAACCGATTATCAACCAATTATTGAGGCCAGTATTTGGCATTTTTACAATTATTGGCATTGTTATTTTTTTTTGACCGATTACGGCAAAATAAGGGAAATGCACTTCTTTGGCTATGATGCAACCGGAGCTTCCTCCCTGCAGCCACCCTGTATTCCCAAGCAATGTCCCTCCCACAGCACTCTCTGATTGGCTGTTACAAATCACTGAAAGCTATTGTTTACAGACCGGGAGTGATGAGCACATTTGCTCCACGGAGAAGCTCTGCTGATTTAGCAGTGCTGTGTTTTAAAGGTGAGGTAGCAGACACTGCTGAAGTTGTAATAAACACTGCAGTCTTCCACAAGCATGCCTAGTGTACCTGCTGTACAGAAAAGACCCCAATAATTCACTTGTAGGTGTTCACAAGTTGAGCAGCTGGAACTTATTTTTTTGCTGACAGTGCAAAGCGAAGGTTATTGCAAAGAGTTTTGCAGTGCCTTGTAGCCTACGGCTAACGTCATCTAGGGTACCCTAACATCTTCATAGGGTAAGATTAACTTCTAAGTGACGGACACGTCTCTCTAGCAGAGACACAAACTGTAAAAACTCCACAAGAAGCACAGCCATCGCCACAAGTCAGTGCATTGTCTACTCTCACAGTGCTACAGCTGTTCTAAAGGCTAGCGGCTAAGTTATTGTTATTGATCTCAATAAATCAATCTCATAGTAAATAGGTGAGTGTCATGGCATCATGTGATGTTTGAACTTCATCAATTCTATTTTTATTGTGTACGGCTTATCCTTATGAATGAAGGAACCTCGTTATAAACAACAGGTTTTCTGTTATCACATGCTGTTAATATAGAACATTTTCTGTGTATATGTATAAATTCAGTCATAGTAATTCTTATTAATGAACTAACCTTGTTATGAATGGCAGGTTTCCTGCTATTACCGGCAGTTCATAAATAGCCTTTAATGCGTATTGGTTTTAACTATTATTATCAATCTTTCTCTATCACCTATAATCGATGTTGACATCAGCCCTTAAAGAAACAAACAAACTAAAAAAAGAAATGTGTTTTCCTACTTGCTAAAAGTACAGAAGTCCCTGGTACAGAACTAAAAGTTGATCCTCTGTGTTTTATGTATGTATTATAAATAATATTAGATGCTGATAATTTCAGGAGTCAGCTGATGTTTTTGCAAGAGGATTCCATCCTTTGTGTTATGTTAGACTTATAGAAACATCAGTCCACTTATGTTAGCGATACTCTTCTTTTACTTCATTAACAATCTTTGGCTGAAGTCAGACAGCGGGTTTGTGTCAAAGTGTGTTTTTCTACCACATTGTAGAGACACCAATGTTTCAGTGGGTAGCTGCTAACTACATTTTTAGTACACTGAGCTTTGCTAACAAAATAGTCAGAACTCACAAGCCTTATGCAGCAGCACACCCAAATAATAGGTCAAATTTACACACCTGAAGTTACACAAGCAAAGTTGTCGGGGCTTGTAGAGCCCTGATCGTGTATCATTCAGGTATAAAATGTACCCATGTCTTTATTCAAAGACACATTGTGGTTGCTGGTCCTCCAAGTACTTTCAAGGAATCAGTTTCACTCAATGACCTAATATGTGATGTGTGTGTAGCAATCTCTGTCCAAGTCAAAAAATAATATTTATAGACATACAGCAACTCAAAACACTGTTTGTTTTGCTTTAATTTTTGTTTTTGGGGCTTGTCTTGTTCATTTTGTCCGCTTCTTTACATGCAGACAGTTACACACTGTTTTAAAGCTTCCAGTACCAACAGTCATCTGATGTTGGCCACTGAGCAGCTTCAGTTCAACAGTTGTCTTGTTTGACGGCAGCACCTCAAGGTCAGTAGTAAAGATATTGTCAGCACTACTTATTTATTCATTTCTGCCAGATTAGGAATTTCACAAGTCACGTCTCAGCTTGACATGTTTTGACCCAGTCAAAGTAATTTTTCCTTTGTTTGGAAATATTGTGTTGTTTGCTTATTTATTTAGTTTGGTTTTAAATAGTTGCAGTAGCATGCTCAGTGTACATAGCCCCTGGTCTGTTCACTCAAGGTTTATCATGCTATGGATGCTTATTTCTGTGTTTGAAAGAGGAGGTGGAAGGTGGGAAGAGGAAAAAGGAAATAAAATGACAGTGAGTGAGTGTTGTCATTTCTATGTTGCCTGCCACCACAAACACAGGAAGTCTGAGAAATTACAGAGCATCTGAACCAGTTTTAATTTATTTTTACACCTATGGTCATTTCACACATTGCAATGTTTGTTTTAAGGAACAATGATCTGCAGTTTAAATAAAGTAGCTGCCTGCACAGCTTACTATCCACATAATTCAGCACTCATAAATGTTGTTTTGAATTTGGAGATGGAAAATGTGTAGGCATCTTATACATAATTTGAGTGATATTCAAAAGTCTTTATTTTCAAATGCAAAATGAGGAGGTGGGACAACTGAGTGATTCATTGATCATGCCTTGCAAATACATCACTGTGGAGGGAAACCACCAAGAAAGGGTGGTGAAAAAATGACTAGTAACCTACATCAGATGAGTAGGAAGACGCAGGAACATAACTTTCCTTAGTACTTTAACAAAAAAGTGGAAATGTAGATGAACTAGTTAAGTAGTTACTCAAGATGTTAAAAGGCTTCAGTTGCTTTAGAGATGTCTGGCAGATGTGCTAGCAACAATATTTAGTGTTATGCAACACCGACTAAATGGTAAGAGTAGGCTAGTGCGGAAGAGATTATCAGGGCTATCCATCTCTGCCTCGGACTGTCATCCAGCAAATCCATTGACAGGCCTGCACTTCCATAATCTGATGATTTGGGCCTGTTTGTTAACCAGTGTGCAGCCCAGCCTGCCTCATTTCCTCTGCTGCCATTTGCATGATGTGTAGCTGCACAGTAGAAACACTGGCGTCATGCTAGCCTTGTGCGTCTTTCCATGTCATCTTAGAGCAGAAATCAAATGAGCCAAATAAGTATAAAAATAGAACCCGTCCCTAGTAAAACAATACAAGTTATTAGTGTCAGATGATCATTTAAATGTATAATATTTGAGGATGTAGTTTTATTAAGCTGCATTACATGTTACAGCGACGTATTTCTTTGCCAAATATGGAAATGAGGTGAATGAAATACCAGAGACACTTTATATTTAGTGCATTATATGTGTTTAGCATCACCACGGCTTAAAAACATAGACTACAATTACCACACATAAAGACACAGGCACAACATAGAGTGCATCGTAGTATTTATATCGTATTGGTCATTCAGTTTAACTTGATGCTTTGTGCAACACAAATGTATCAAACAGTATTCGTGAGTATTACATTCCTGCCTAATGACACTTCAGACAGGATGATGGTATGTCTTTGGTGAGACAACCTTTTCACTTGTGTGTCAGTCTGAGCTATGAGGAGGATTGTTGATAAAATAAAATCCGGTCCAGGCTTTATGTGGCTAAATATTACACTGTAATAGTCTGTTTTGCTCAGTCGTGTCAAATTTTCTTGACCACCCAGGCAACAGAATGTTAGTGGGAGACTTGCACATTTTCAAACACACGCACTGGCACGTAAACTCTTTCAAACTTGTACATTTGGGCGCACACATGCTCATGCAAACAGTCATATACCCACGCCCACAGTTTTATTCGGCGTCTCTTACTCTGCATTTCCTTCGCGCATTGGGTGGAGAGAGATGGAAGGACCGACAAGAGAGATGACTGGTCATGTTGTTTTCCTCCAGTCAGAGGAAAGAGTGACTGCATGAAAGGAAAGAGGTGGCGGAGAGGTGGAAAGGTTCTTCATGTGCCCAGCTGTTCCACTAACACTGTGACTTTTAGTGTTGTAGTTTTGATATGCTTGTGTGTTTCCTGTGAAGAGCTACTGTCGCAAGATGTTGACCTAATGACGCGACAGCAATGTGGTTTCTTAAACAGTCTTGATTAGGATAATTAATGCTATCAGGGCATCCTGGGGTTTAACAAGTCGAGCCATATTACGGTGCTTCTCATACCATTGTGCGCCTTTATGGCCTTATTCTGTCTTTTCTCTTTGTTTTCCTGCTCTTCCATTCACTCTTTACTGTGTCAAACTGTCCAATGAAAGAGAATTTGCTTTGGGATAACCCTACAAAAAAAAAAAAAAGTCTGACTGGAGAATGAAAAAAAGAAAGCGGGGAAGACTTTGTGTAATGTCAGGAATGAATGAGGACACTCTACTCTGTGTACTTAACTGCACCGTTGTATGTGCTCTATATTTGGCCAGACACCTGTAATCCTCTTTTCTCTTTTAGAACAATCACCTAAAATAACTACAACTACTGACTTCTGTCTGTAGTCATAACTTAGTCTCTCTTCTTTTTTTTCTTTTTAATCTTCATTCCTTAGTTTGGCTTACAGAGACAAAAGTGTCCTCTTGGTCCTTGTGTTACATCAAAGAGATGTCTGTTAGTTTGATTTATGAATATTATGATTATTAATTGTGCTCTCCACATCACCGTTCAATATTCCAAGCAATATATAAATGATCTCACTAACCATCCTTTTTTTTTTTTTAATGTGTCTATTACAGGGTTCGCCTTCCCAGAATGGGCTTACAAGCCCGAGTCGAGCCCCGGGTCCAGACAGATCCAGTTGTGGCACTTCATCCTGGAACTGCTCAGGAAAGAGGAGTATCATGATGTCATCGCCTGGCAGGGGGATTATGGCGAGTTTGTAATCAAGGACCCAGATGAAGTGGCCCGGCTCTGGGGGGCCAGGAAGTGTAAACCCCAGATGAACTATGATAAACTCAGCAGAGCCTTGAGGTATGATCACAGAGAACTCTCTAAATATGCTTTTTCCACTGTGTATCTGTTTGTGGTAGGGTGTATTCATTCATAGTTTTTTTGCTCCTGACATTTAACTCCTTTTCTGTGGGGACTAGCAAATACATCAGATGAACTGCAAATATACCAGATAATCCACAAAGGCCTAATTATGCTGCACTAGTAATCATGGCTATGATGAGGATCTGTGGACCTAACAGGGTGATATATTCACGTAAACATTTACCATATCAGCAGGAGCCCACATGCTTCAGTTGCATGACCAATTTAATAAGATCTCGCCGTCAGATTACACAAACAGTAGTGTTGGATATGTAACCATACTGTGTTGTTGAGAACATAGGGTTTAAACACATGCTGAAAATATTAAGCCCAGTTACAAAGTCCCCTCTTGTCTGCATTTTACCCAGAAAGTCATACTCGCTCTTTATAAACAACACAAGCTACTGTTGTCCACAACTCGTCCAATGCATCTGCTGTCAATTACAAGTAAGGAACCCTTTAAGCATAGCTATTTTTTTAAAAATGCTTCACCTAAACAGATATTTATTTAATTATATTTTATTTATTCTGGGAGAATATTTATTTTGATTTGCTTTTGTAAATTTGACTTCCTCTTTAGTAAGTTTTAGCCAATTGCAGCTGTATTGAGAAACTTTTTAAAGAAAAATACCACCATAGTCTGTTCAGCATGCCAGTGTTTAATTTAAAAAAGAAGCAATTTAGCATTTACTGAGATTTTTGTGTGCCGTTACACCGCTAGTTGACATACTAACTTGAAGCTACAACGGTTTTGATTAATTAGGCTGTCGTCCATTAGCACTTGAGTGGCAGACAAAAACCATGGGTTCTGGAAGAGTGACCACTCTCTACTGATTTGTCAGGATGAGAAATGTCTCCTTTTTAGTGGGGCAAGAACTCCAAATAATGTGGTTTATGTAGCAGCAGCAACTAAATATTCAGTCTCTGGGCTTCAATTGAAGGACAGGGGTTGAAAACATTCCCGGTCCTCTGGCTAAGTACAACTGTGTTTGCGGTTTACCCCAGTAAGTAAGTTGCCTCATGTTGACTTAAAATGAAGATGTTGGGACGCATATGTCATTTACAGCTGAGTGATGAGGGCAAACTATTGGACTGACTAATAAAAGGGAAACAAACATTGAGTTAAGAAGTGGCTTTATAGAGTTAGGAGAAGGAGAAGATGGTGAGCACCACAGCTAAAGGAAGTCATTGAGCAAAGGTGGAAATCTTTTGGACTTGTTTAGGCAAGGAATAGTCTGAAATTGCTTGACAGGTAGTAGCACACTGGAGGAATTGGAGGTTCAGAAGTGTTGGTTGAAATATGGGATTCTGTTGAGTGACCTCAGGAAAGTTTTGGAAAAGTGTAAAATTACTCAAGAGAGAGAGGCAGGAGCTTGTCCAGGTTGTTCTCAGTTGTAACATCTGCTGCCCACAGCATGGGATGCCGATGGATGGTGGAAGGAAGACTTAGAGGAACAACTGAGTGATGGTGGTGGTGGTCAGTGGAGGCCACAGAGGATCATAAACTGCCCTTTTAATGTCTTGCCACAGCATCTCAATTGAATTAAAGTCCGGACTTTGACTCAGCCACTCCAAAACCTTAATTTAGTTATTTTTTTTAGCCATTCGGAGTGGACTGTATGTGTGACAAATATACAAACATAGGAGATATCTGTAGGGTTGCAAATACTTTTCCACAGCACTGTATTTATCATGTTATAAAAGTGACACTGGTTGGTGGCGACCCCATGGTAATACTGGAGTTGTTTTACATAATGTTTGTTAATACCACTGGTCTTAAAGTCAACTAATGACTTCATTACTTGATTTGGATGTTTTGTACTGAGGATAGTTTCACCATATGGTTAATGTGAAGAATATTTTAAGGGAATGTTTCTCTTGCCTTGGTCTTCTTTGCTGACCTTTGAATTTGGTCTCATAAATATCAAGAAAGTTAAACTGCACATACCAGTGAAGAAAATTTACTCAAGCTCAATAAAATCTTTTCTTTTTTTTTTTAAATCCCACAAAACAAATCAAATCTGAGCCACACAGCAGCTGCTTTCATAGTGTTTATGCCTTTGGCTTTTATGAACAGACATTAGTTCTTGATATTTTTAAAAATAGAAAAGCCTGATAAAAGTTCCGCTTGTCAGTGTGATCTACCCTCTAAAGTATTAACTTAGCGTATTAGAGTTGATTATTACAGGAATCGCACATCCCTGAGCAACTCCTCTCAGCTGATGCCAGTTGTGAGCAGCAGCATCTCATTCACTGTCTTGTGTCCCCGGTTTGTTGTGTACCGACAAACACAACCAAGATTAGACTAAGCACTTTAAAGAAAGCCACCAAGGCCATTAACCGAGGGAAACACATTGAGTTGCTTAATTTATGGCTGGGAGGGCTTATGTACGCTCATTTACACCGGTGAGATTAAGATAACTTCTGTAACAGATGAGATCCTTTGGGGACAGAGGGAATTAACATCGACTACTTATGGGTGCCTACATGTGATGCACACAAACACTCAGACTTGCAATCCGGATTTAGAATTCCTGAATTGGAGAAAAAAAAAAAAGAATGTGAATGTGAATACTTGTGGTCAGGCTGTTTATTTATAGCACATCCATCCTCTGGAGCTGTAACAGATTTGGAGCTTAGGCTATGTGCTTATATATAGTGGGTCTTAGAGCCCTCTGATAGACTGGTCTTAGAGGCCGATTATCAACAAGTCTTCATAGAAGTTTCCCTTCCTTCACGATGGTGTCCTCATCTACCTGTGTGTAGTAAGGCTGTCTCCCTTAGTGCCTATAAATGAAGCACAGTCACTTCGGGTAAAGGGTGAGAAGGACAAATCAACAAAACAACAGTTGTGCACACACGTCCATGTTGTCACCTGATTTGACTTTCATCGCAAGAGACACTGTTAAAAAAAAAAAGTCTCTGTAGTCACATCAATAGGAATGGTGCAAGAGAATTATTAGCACTAAAGATCAGTAAAGTAAGCAGCCACAAAATCACACATGTGTATGCTAACTGTCCCCATATGGAGTAAGCTGTTGGAAAGCAAGCCACCTCATGCCCTTCATATGGAGAAAACCTGGAGCCTGCTAATAATGGAGACGATAGTCAGCATGTGGTAATTAGCCTGCACACATACTTGAAAAGGCATTCTTGTTTTGAAGTGTTCTTTTTATCACTTTGCCTTTGTAATTACTATTTTTACCTCATTGATCTTATTCTTTCCTGTCTGCCATGCACATGGTGGAAATTCCCTTAATCAGGACTGCTGCATTGTGTGTGGACATGTGCGTGTGCGTTTGCTTTCCGTCGAGGGGACACAGCCTTGGCCCATGCGTCATCCTGGCCTCCTGCTCCCACGGCTGCTGTGAAATTCCCACTCATGTTGAGAGGATTACGCTCATGCTGTGCAATTGTGTGTTTATGTACAAAAGTGTGTGTGTGTGCTTGATGTTAGGAGGTAAGATGGTTTTGTTTTGTTTATTTAGTCAAATTTTGTATCAAGTTGTTGTATCTTGTTACAGCGAATCGCTTTTCTAAGATTGTATTTTGGGCGTTTGAGCTTTTATTTTGAATAGAGACAGTAAAGGTGGGGGAGACGAGAAGTGTAACGACATGCTGGGTCAGAATCCTTCCATAGCCGCTGTGTTGGGGTCTTTCAGCCCCTATTCATGTGTCCCTTGCTCCAGTTGAGCGACTGGGGCACCCATTAATCACATTTTTAAAATAAACAAACCCAACAAGCCAACAGACAATTAATGCTGTTGTCCAGAGTGTGTCATGTCTTCCAAAGATTCTGCTTTTTTCAAATTTATTCGCATTCCACATGGATATTTCAAAAGGTTTGATGTCAATGCTCCTTGGCATTTCTGGTTGAGCAATGAATGGAAGAATGGGCACAGTCTTTAATAATAGCTGCCATTTCATCATAAGGAAATACTTGGTAGAGAAAGGAAATCAAGACATCTACTTGCACCACCTTCCTGCTCACATGAGAGTGACTTGTACTAAATGACAAAGAAAAGTGATGGAACTGAAGCCTGTTGCCAATCATTCATTGCAGAGTGTTGCTTAATGAGTGTAATCACGCTAAGAGGTCCCAGGTCCTTGAAGACCTCCCGGCTCCCCTGCCCACCAGTCAGCAGCCAGCATTAACTCTAACACAGTGGTCAGAGGTCAGGGGGCCTGCCACGCACAGCTGGCAAAGATTAACAGCACATCACATGTGCACATTCACATAAACAAATGCACCATTGTCATGACTTTTGCCCAAGCATGCATGCTCGCACACATGTTTGGAGTGTGGCTACATTTCCAACATTCGTCTTATTGTGATGTGATGAGCCACCACAGCTGGAAAATTGCCACAGCAGAAATAGGTAGACGACTCTGTAACTGTATGCTCAAATATATGAGAATACGTGTTTAATACTTTTTTTTTTTTGATGAACTGATAGCACTATAGTAGAGTATGATGGTGTAAGGTCTCGTTTTCATTCTTGCCCTGAAATACAGTAGCCACTAAACTGCTGAACTGAAACTGGTTTTGATGTGCATTTAGCAATAACCTCTGTGACCACATGTAGAAAACATGCTGCAGGAAATACTGCTGCATATGCACACACTGTTACTCACCTAACTGGTAGAGCCTGTTTGTAGGTCAGAAGGTCTCTCTCTACATCAGTACATTATGTGGAAACACCCAGGGCCAGAGAGAAAGTGCAGAGGGGGCATGCTGGGATAGGGTCACTGTATGACTTGGTGTTCAGCATGTACTTTTGTGTATTGTCTTTCCATTGTCTCTAGCTGCAGCATGTATGTGTTCATTATACATGAGCTCTGTGTGTATGTCTTTGTCCCTGACTAAATGAGGCCTCTATTTTCTATTAGGGTGGAAAGCACACGAGCCGTGCGCACATACAAAACAAAAATACACT